AGGTTAGGATGTATTCAAAAAGTCTTTATTCCTACCGTATACTAGGGAGACATCAAGAGACAACATTTTACCTAAGAATTTGAATAGACATATGATCTCTTCAAGTATAGATAGGCTATAAAGGAAGCAGGATGGCTTAATAATAAATACTCTAAGTAAATAAATGCAATCGTTTAAAAATCCAAAAAATCAATGTCGTAACGGGCTCTTTCTTCTGTAATTTCGGCAATTGAAGAAGCTGATGAGGGAGGAGCAAAGGAGTCGAAAATGCCGGGAGAATCAAGACAATCTACAGCAGTTAGAGGCGAATATCTCAATGCGAAGCCAAAATTCACATTGATCCTGCTCTTGATTGAACTAGTAAGGTTATCTTTCAATAGTACCAGTTTTGGCCAAGGTTTAATTTTAATTGAATGAGCTACATGTTGTGTATAATAATAATATAGGTATGGTGTATTGCTGGATCTCTTGTATGGGGAGCTGCTGCCGATAATCCAGTACTCCCACAACTTCTTGCCATTTTCAATATGCTCATCATATTTGCGCTCATTTTGGCCTGCCTGAGTACAGAGGTAAACGTACAAATCATAAGCACCTCCTTTAATTAAGGCGACTGTATTGTTTAGCTATTGTTTGATTATTTCTTTGATTTTAATGCGTTCTCTTCACTGTACTTTTCCAAATCTTTAAGATTGGAGAAAAGCGCTTTTTGATGTACTTCTTCAAGCGAACCAACAGAAATCAATGCACCCTAACCTTTAAATTTCAGTACTTTCGATTCCAAGTCAGGCGAGAAGACACTAGATCAGACACGCGTTATTTTGTGCCATATGCATGGAGATATGTGGTAGGGATTTTTGAACCCGCAAATATTCTAGGCACAACCAATGTAGAATAACTTTCATTTTTAGCTTTGCGAAGCTCACGTTGCTAGAGCATTGCTACTTTGTGCCAACATAACAATTATGGCATTCGACAATGATTTCGATATAGGATCAATTATCGTCCTTGCGGCCACCCCACTTCATCTCATCTTAACTTCTTTACATATTTTCATTGCTTTTAAGCCAAAACGGCAGTGACATAACACTCGATAAATTGTTTTAATTTATCGTATAATGCATATCAGAATCGTTAGGCACTATCTTCAGATGGAGATTTGCATGTACTACCATGTGCTATATATTTAGTAATAGAATTTTGTACAAATTTTATGGGTTAGTTGTTGCTACGATTCTCTCGCCTCTTAAAGTAGTACTGAATGGAGGTTCTAGGCTAGAAGCGCATATCTACGCTTTGACCTTCTGACGTTTACTTCCAACCGCGCGTCTCTGCAATCGACAAGTCGCGGGCTTTCAGCAGTTTTGATTTTTTTGCACATTACTGGCTCAAAACTTATCCTCATTTCCATTTAGTCGAAGATTATGCATGATACCCACATCTTAAATGTCCAATAAAAGCACGCGAAACGGATATTACAAAAATACCTTTCTTTGATTCTTAAACCACTCCATAAAATACTTTTTTTGTTGCAAAAAGTTATCTTTATAAGAGCGTTATAAGGCTTTTTGATCACCACTACGAATTTCTAATTCCACTCAACTTCCGTTGCAGCAAAATTTCATTTGAAAGAGTTACAGTTTTTCTCTTAAAATCTCTCAAGATATTTTATTTCTGCTCAGAGAGAACATCCTATGCGGTTATCTGCCATCCTGAAACGTCAACAAAAATATTAGCAATACAGAGACGGCGGTTTTTCTTAAACTTGATAATTTGGAACTCTTGCACATTAACTTATTGGCAGCTACGCATATTCGCGTGCATTATTGCCACTATCTTTTTAAACTAGAAATAGTTCGTGAAA